CTCTCTCTCTCTCTCTATCTCCCTCTCTCTTTCTCTCTCTCTCTCTCTCTCTCTCTCTCCATATAAATGTATTTAAAACATCTCTCCCTCCATGTTTATTGTTATTATTTCTCTCGATGCGCCAACGTCGCCCGACCATTTTCAAGCTCATGCCAGCTCCTACCGATGATCGCAAACTCTCTCTCTCTCTCAACCCTTCTGGTCCTCTCTGCTCGCAACTATCTGACCCCTGTTCTCTACGATCAAAGACCCAATCGCTTGGTCACAACCAAGACATCGGGACCCCAAGAAGGGGCTGGAAACCCACCAAACCTTCCAGTGCTATAGAGCCTGGAGTCGGGAACTCGGAGCCTTGCGTGGCACCCAACCGCCCACCGAATCGTGAACGTCCAGAACCCAACCAACTTCACATTGCGGGGAACCTCGGAACCGGGAGCCGCGGGAGCCCAGCCGTCCTCGCAGCGCCGGGAACCGGGAACCCGGGAACCCAGCCGCCCACCGAAATCGGCCCAGATTTCCGGAAGTGGGAACTTGGGAACCCAGCCGCCTACCGAGATCGGCCTTGGCGCTTCGCCAAAGCATTCACTCTCCACGAGGACCCCATCAGTGCAAGCACTGATTGGGGAATCGGGTGTTTGCTGGAGACTTCCTCGTCGCTCGTGGCCAGAAGTTAAACAGTGTGCAAAAGTTGCACAGGTGGGGGCGGTACTTTTTCAAAACAGGGACCTCGCTGGACACCTTGTTAAATTGTTTGCGCGTTCCTTGCAACACTCACTGGGAGGATGCCAGGCAGTCAGCTCCTTCTCAGAACGGGGTTCTCGCCTTAACGGCCGGTCCATGGGGCATAGGGCGCTAGTCTTTGAAAGTGGGGTTCTTGAAGCGGGAAGCTAGGCTTGTAGGTACACATGGGGCTTGGGGTGGAAGGATGCGTTTGTAGCATCGTTGATGTATCTTGGGTTTGTTTTTCCTCCTCCACCTCCTCCTCATCATTATCTGCCCTCGTAGCTGGGGGACACGTTTGCTGCGATAGTTCTTGGCTTGGCTTTTCTTTGCTCGTCCCCTCCTCCTTTTTCAGAGCGGGCCTTCTCCTGAATTGCAGGACCACGGAGAGCTTGCCTTTCGAGGGGGCACTCTCCACAGTGGACAGGAATTCTCGCAGGGATGGGGAGGTTGGGACGGCAGGGGGGAATTGCACCTCATTGATGCATCCTGGCTTCACCATTGTCCACCTCCTCCTCCCTGTCCTCCTCATCATCCTGCTCCTCGCCATCCTCCTCCACCTCCCCTGCGGTTCAGGTGGCTGCCTGACTGCATTGGGAATGGAGGTTGTTTGCTTGCTTGCCTGGTCTTGTTGCCTGACGCTCTCTGTTTTTTGCTTGCCTTCGGAGGCCTTCTCGTTGCACTCCAAGAGGGGTCCAGTGGCCGACGTGTGAGGGAGGAGGACCCAGACGTCTTGAACCCCCTGAGACCCAACAGCTTGCCCAAGAAAAGACGTCTTGAAATGACGCTTAAGGCCCTCGAGGCCCAATAGCTTGCCTAAGGAAAAGAGGCGTCTTGAAACATCAGGACAAGCGGTCATCGCAAGCATCGGCCTCCAGGAGTAGTCTTCCAGGCGCCGTCAAACGCGGGGTGGGACGGCAGACGGGCTCCGTGGGATGGTCGGCGGCGCGCCAGAGGGGGGCGGGGGGGGGAAGGCCGAGGGGGCGGGCCCTCCCAGAAGGCGCAGGAGGCCACTGGCCTTCGGAGAGGCCGCCGCCGCCTCCCCGAGGGGGCGAGGGCAGGCCCGCCCCCTCCCGCCTGCCCCTCGGGCGCGCCGCCGACCAGGCGTCTGGGCCCCTTCCCCGGGGACCAGCTCTTCGTCCCGAGTCGTTCTCTGACGGCCCCGGGGGCCTGGGGCCCGGCGAGGGCCCCCGAGGAGGCCGAGGGCGGCCAGGTCAAACCCTCCCGCCGTGACTCTTGCCGCCCGACGAGGGGCCGTCAGGCCATCCGCCCCCGTCGAGGCCATTGGCTCGGAAGCCCCGCCGCTTCTGAGGGGGCCCGCCCTCGGCAGCGATCGCAGCGAACGCAACGATCATGACGACAGCGAGCGACAGCAGCGACAGCGATAGTTGTGATCCTTGTCCCTCCCCCCTCCTGGGCACGCTACCGAGAGGGGTCGGGAGGTCTGGGGGCAGCGCACTGGGGCAGTGGGAACGCCGGAGGTCTGGGTTCGGATGCTGGCCCCCTCGTCGCCGCGGAGGGGCGCAGTTCGAAGGGTAGGCCAGGGCCCCCCCTCTCGATCCTCAATACTCAGTTCTAGCTCCTCCGCCCTCGAGACTCGGTTCTGGATCCTGGAGCCTCTTTTCCTCCCCCCCCTCCTCGATCCTCCTCCGCGAGGAGGGGGAGGGCGCAGTTCGATAGAGCCTTGGAGGGGTCCGGGGCCTTCCAGGAGGCTTCTTCGGGGCCTCCCGAGAGGCCTCTCAAGGGCCTCCCAAGAGGCCTTCTAAGGGCCTCCCAAGAGGCTTCCCAAGTGGCCCCTTAAGGGCCTCCCAAGAGGGACCGGTTCTGAGCAGATGTTCGGGATTGCAAGAGGCCCCCTGCCCGTCTTGAGGGGGTGGGGGGGTAGCGAGTGCCGGAGAGCGAGTAGCAGATGGGGCTTTCTTGGGTCACTTTGGGGCCGTCTTGGGCGATCTTGGAGGCCTCTTGGACCGCGTTGGGGCGATTTTGGAAGCCTGTTGGGCCGTCTTAAGCTCCCAAGGCGAGAACGCCAAAAACCTTCAAAAATTACAGGCAAATCGCTGATGTTTGCCTCTATGGGTCCTCTTGAGAGATCTCTTGGGGCCTTTTGGGTGTCTCTTGTGGCCTCTTGGGGGCCTCTTCGAGCCTGCAGGAGATTTCTCTGCGCCAGCTCGACATGTCCGTTCGGGTCCCTCGTCTAGGCCCGCTCTTGGAGCCGTCTTGGGAGCTTCTTCGGCCATCTTGTAAGCCTCTGGGCCCTCTGGGGCCGTTTTGTGCACTCTTGGAGGCCTCTTGGGCCGCGTTGGGGCGATCCTGAAAGCTTCTTGCCGTCTTGGAGCGCCGGTAAGCTCCCAAGGCGAGAACATCAGAAACCTTCAAAAATTGTAGTGAAATCGCTAATTTCTGCCTCTGTGGGCCCTCTTGAGAGGTCTCTTGGGGCCTCTCGGGGTCTCTTGGGACCTCTCGGGGGCTTCTTTGGGGCTTCTTGGGGGCCTCTTCGGGCTTCGAGGGGACCTCTCTGCGCCTAGAGCTCGAAATGTCCGTTCGGGTCCCTCGTCTGGGCCCACTGTGGGAGCCGTCTTGGGAGCTTCTTCGGCCACCTGAAAAACTGTGGGGAATCACTAATGTTTGCCTCTGTGGGCCCTCTGGGGAGGTCTCTTGGAGGCCTTTTGGGGCGTCTTGAAGGCGTTTTGGGCTGTCTAAATGCGAATATTGTTACCCAGCCACCGGAGATCTTAGCACGCCCTTGGCCCGTTGGGCCCGCGAATATAGACCTGGTTTAAGATTGTCGGAGGTTGTTGGGAACCCCACCCCGCGAAGTCGATCAGCGACATGCCTTTTGGGGGGCTTCTCCGTCCCCAGCCAGGACTTCCCTGTCTACACGGACGGCGACACCGGCTTGGAGCACCGAGGCGACAGGGTGTGGTGCTCGTTCTGCGACGTCGAGGTCAGGGGCAGCGAGGCGGACCACCTTGCCGCAAGGAGGCACCGGGGCAGCTCGGAGACGGCGCGGAGTGCATCCAGACTCCTGTGCGAGCAGGGGCACAGATTGTGGCGCGAGGGCATCGCCGTCTCGATGATGAAGGCCAGCTGCGCGCTGTGCCACAAGGATACGAGGGATCGAAGTGGGTACAGCAGCAATGGGCACAAAGACCGACAGCTTTTCATATTAATTTTGAGCCGGGTTCGATGTCGGTGTTGCCGCAGATGTATCCACCCAGGGCAAGAAATTGCCTGTCCGACAGCGGCCGCCCTCGGGTTTGCATGACGCTCGCCGTTGGGCATCGTCAGAGTGAGGGGGGGCGAACGATCTGTTACCAAGTGGGATTCCGTGGCCCCGATTATGCTTGTTGGTTATTCGTTGTTGTTGTTGTTGTTGTTGTTGTTGTTGTTGTTGTTGTTGTTGTTGTCGTTGCTGTTGTTGTTGATGGTGGTGGTGTTGTTAGTGTTGGTATTGTCGTTGGTGCCGTTGCTGTTCTGTTGCTATTGGTATTATTGCTGTTGTTGTTTATGATGTTGTTGTTGCTGTTGTTGTTGTTGGTGGTGGTGGTGTTGTGGGTGGTGCTGTTTTCGTTGAATTCTCATTTCTAAAGAATGGTTATTGCCGATCCCCCCTGCGATACCCGTTGCGCTTGTTAATTAAAGTGCTTTTCCCGGAGCTCGCACCCTGTTTTCAACAGGGGAACGCGAGGAGTCAACAAACTGTGCCCCTGGCCCCCCGTTTGCAACAACAGCGGTTCACGCGTGACACCTCCTTACCATTTACTCCCAAATCGCGCTTTCGCGCGGGACTTCCTCACGATGTATGCAGGAGTCGCGCTTTCGCGTGGGATTTCCTCGTGAATTATTCAGACGCCGCGCCCTCGGCATTCAGGAATCACGCTCTCGCTGTCGATTCGCTGACGATTTATTTGGGAATCGTGCTATCGTTCCAGACTTTCTCGCGATTCATGCAGGACGCACGTTTCAGCAACCCGCCTGCCCCTTGTCCCTCCCTTCCATCAGTCCTTGTTTTCCCGTCCTTAGGGGCTGCACGAAATACACGTTGTAGGTAAGAAAGATATACCCCCAAGGGGGATACGTCGGAAGACGAAGAGGGCGGACATCGAGGGTTTGGGATATACGTGTTGAGTGGCCCGCGAGCAGATAAGAGCTAACAGTCTTAAAATTGTTGTTGGTGTGGCTGTTGTCTTCGAATTTACGCTTGCAGCCCCATGTTTAAATAATACTTCTTGGGAAGTACAGTTTCCTTGAATTGCGCGAGGTCGCCAGGGGATGTTCAAGGACTTGACAGCTCGCGGGACGGGACTTGCCGTTGGGGCGGGACTCTTGGCCCCGACTTAACTCTTGCAGACGGGACCTGGGAAATCTGGAGCTGGTTTATTATTACTAATAAGCTCCCAGGAGACGCCCGAATCCCGGCCCGCCCCGACAGCGCGTCTTCGCTAGGACTCCCAGGGAGGATGGGGAGCTATCATCATCATCATGATCACCATTATCTTGATCATCATCCATCATCATGACAGCAGCTGTCATGGCCATGATCTTCCCGAAAATTTCCGCCATCATTGTCACATGTGGGAGCGTCGCTATCGCATCCACGCTCGCCGACGCCGTCGCCATGGACGCGATGGAGAGGGCTGCCGCTGACCTCGGGCACTGTATCACCATGGCCGCAGTGCCGGGCACATGAGTGCGCGTCGCCAGACGCGCGCAGAGACCCCCTGCCCTCCGCGGCGCGCGTCTGAACAAATCAAAGAACTTCATTATCACAGCAGTAATTGTTTTTGATGTCCCCCTGCGCTGTAACCATTGTATGCGATCGCTTGCGATACTTTTCCTGAAGCTCCCACCCTTGTTGTCACAGGGGAACGCGAGGTGGCACCAAACTGGGGGCCCTGGCCCCTGGTTTAGAAGAACGGCTCCCGCCCGATATTCCTGATAAGTTAGTCCAAAATCGCGCCCCCGCCCGAAGCCTCCTCACAATGCACGCAAGAATCGCGCTCTCGCGCAGGACCTCGTCGCAATCTATGCAGACTCGATGCTCAGGAATCACGCTCTCGCTCGGGCTTCTTGCGCGATTCACTTTGGAAGCGCGCTGTCGCTCGAGACTTTCTCACGACCCATGCAGGACCCACGCGTCAACGACCCTCGACCTGGCCGCCCGGGCCCGCCTTCCCGACCCGCCCACTAGGGTCTGCCCGTCCGGTCTGACACGTTTGGGCATGCCGCGCGCTTTCTGTTCCTGGCCCCCTCTCTTGATCATTTCTCTTGCGTCCCATTCCCCCCCGTCCTCCTTCCATCCGCATTGTCCTCCGCCGTTCTAGGGGCTGCGCGACATGCGTTTGGCTGGCTAGGAAGATGAACCCCCGGGGGGGCATGATCGAAGACGAAAGGGGCGGATACCGAGCATCTGGGATTTATGCGTCGAGTGGCACGCTAGCGAATAGGAGCGAATTGGATTAACATGAGATTTGTTGTTTTTATGTATATTATTGTTGTTGGTGTTGCTGTTGTTACTGATGTTGATGTCGCTGGTGTGGAACTTTTCGCTTCTAAGGAGCAGTTGTCGTTGATCCCCCTTCCTGGTAATAGTTGCAACTTTGGCATGGTTTAAACAAGCGCGCTTCTCCCGGGGTTCGCGCTTTGTTTTTTAACGAGGGAACTCGAGGTGTCAACAAACTTCGCCCCTGGCCCTTTTTTTCACGACAACCACAACAACAATCATTTTAAGAAAGCTCGCTCTCACATGCCCGCGTGTCATTCAGCACGAGTTCCCCACACCCTCGATACCCGCCTTTCTTGTTTTCGAACACACCCCCTTCGGGGGGATTATTTTTCTTTGCGGGGGGCGGCGGGCTTAGACAGGCGGGCAAACATGAACGGGCGGACAATCCTTCGTGGGCGTACGTGTGCCCGCCATTGGAATTGGCGTGGGCCCTGCAAGAAGACAGGAGGCGGGAAAACGAGGGAGAGTGGGAGGAACGGGGGGGGGGGAATCGAAAGAAGAAGGAACACACCAGGAGAGAAGGAGCGAAGAGGGGGGCGGTTGATTAGAGGCAGAGGGAGATAGGGAGAGAGAGAGAGAGAGAGCCGTACAGATAAGAGAAGTAGAGAAAGAGAGAGAGAGGGGATATATATATATATATATATATATATAAACATAAATATATATAAAGAAAGAGGGAGGAGGCAGGAGAGGGTAGGTAGAAGGGAGGAGGGAGAGGAGGGAGAGGGGATAGGGCCAAGCTAGGTGCGCTCGCGTCAGATCTGACGTCCTACCCCTCCCTCCCATCCCTTACCATGGCGCTGATTTTCTCTATCCGCGGGCGCGTGTCGTAGCGGACCTGTGGCTCCGCGCGCGCGTGCGTAGTGGGTGGTGGTGCGCGTGCGTGCGTGCGTGCGTGTGTGCATGGTTGTGGTGCTGGTGCTGGTGCTGGTGTTGGTGCTGGTGTTGGTGTTTGTGCTGGTGCTGGTGCTGGTGCTGGTGTCGCTGGTGTCGCTGGTGCTGCTGGTGCTGCTGGTGCTGCTCGTGCTGCTGGTGCTGCTGGTGCTGCTGCTGCTGCTGCTGCTGCTGCTGCTGCTGCTGCTGCTGCTGCTGCTGCTGCTGCTGGTGGGTGGTGGTGGGTGTGTGGGTGTGTGGGTGTGTGGGTGTGTGGGTGTGTGGGTGTGTGGGTGGTGTGTGTGGGTGTGTGGGTGTGTGGGTGGTGTGTGTGGTATGTGTGGTATGTGTGGTGTGTGTGGTGTGTGTGTGGTGTGTGTGGTGTGTGTGGTGTGTGTGTG